TTCGTTCAGTGGTACCTCTGTCTTTTGTTCTAATCGACTTCTCCAGGGCCCCCTCCTGCCCGCCATAGGGTCCCTGTAGGTGCAAGTGTAGCTACTACCAAGCAATTGAGCCAAAGAAACCCATATTGATACCATGGGTCATTTGCAATCAAAGATCTCAGCATCTCTCACCCTTCCTTGCATTAGTATCACCGTGACAATTGAAGGGCACGTCTTGGGGAAATCCTGCAGAACTGTTTGGAAGCGACATATAGAACCGTTCAGTGTCCTGGACGCAGAGATCTGCCTGTCTGTACGGAATTAAATGAAGACGCTTGTAACAGGTTATGCGGTCTCGAGGGAGCGAGGGTGGTCGGTCAAAGTCAGGAAGCGCAGCAATCATGCGGTTAATCCTCGCTGTCCTGGGAACCTTTATTGGATTTCTACACATCAAATGAGCAGCCCAGCGCGTGCAGCTGACAGGAATAATTACCCCGGTAGACATGTTACGGGCCCCTTTAATGTAAAATCACCGCTCTTCCTCTGCCAAATACAGATGAGCTCGGAGACAGCAACCAATTACACAACGGGCAAATGTTATTAACCACCAGCATTTGCTGATAATCTTTGGCGTATGGAGTTACATCGGCTGCTAATCAATCAATTAAAAGAAGCAGAATGGGAAAACTGGTGTCGTATCCAAATGTTCAGAGACAAGTAACGACAAGACGTCTAGAAAGTATATATCATTGCACCGTATTTATTCTTATCTTAATGCACGTTTGTTACCTCTATTTAAAGTGACATTAAAGGATTTTATTTTTTCCCTCCCCCCAATGTTAGTGTAGGGACTTCCCTTAAATGATGCCTCTAAATCCGATCATCTTCTTCCTTACTGTCGTTTTTAGCTGTCCCTCCAGCGCTGCTGTGGGTCTCTGATCCAGCCCCGACTCCTCTGTGCTCTTCTCTCATGTCCCACGAAGTCTGTGCGGGTGCACGCTGCTCCATATACTTACCTTGTGTCTCTCCTCGTCTCTCAGCCGAACATCTGAACTGCGCATGCGCCTGCCCCAAGATCCTTTGCGGCTGCCCAAAAAAATTTCAGATGTTCGGACGGGAGCGCCCCGCGAAGACACAGGTACGTTTAAACCTGTTTCAAAAGGTTTTAGAGAGCCGTGACAGGATCGAGAGGCGAGCGAACGCCCGATCTACTAAGCCGACCTGTGACAGTCTCATTGTCACAGGTCGGCTAGAACTATGAGGTGAGTGAAAAGCACTTTAAGTTCTCCTTTAAGTTTTTGCATATATCTACTGCTTGCTAGCACTAGATATATGCAAAAAAACTTGAGGGTTTAATAACCCTTTAAGTGTTTGTTTGTAGTTTTTTATTACATTGTTCACTTTTCAAAGAGATAGTTTAGTTTAGGTAATGGTATTTAGCTACACGTGTGAAAGAGTATGAACAGGAAGCAATTAAAGTCACAAATTAATGCATTTCTACATCACAGGGGTGTGTAAATTTCAAAAAATTCTACTTTCCCAAGGGCTAAAGCAGGGGCCCAATCTACTTGTCCTGATACAAATAAATAGTTTTAATCAAAATAATATTTAACCTGACCACGCTGATCAACGAGTGCGAAATTCAAAATGCATAGCGCAGAGTTGCACTGGACAGCAGTAAAGGCGGAGTCGTACTGGCAGAGGAAGGACTGTTCGCCAAAAGGTAAGTATAGCACGGAGGGGGGGAGATTTCAACGGGTAATTCCATTTTCCCAATTACCTGGGAAAAGTGAACGTACCCTTTAATGCACAATGTGCGTGTTAGAGTGCTGCTACCACAATATGGCTCAATGGCGGCAGCACTCAACGCTCACACACAATGTCCTACATGTGCGTTTATGTGCATGCAAATGGTGGTGGTGGTGGCAGGGTTGGTTTTCATTTATATTTTTTTTTATTTTTATATATTTTATTATTTTTTTATAACTTTTTTTAATATGTTTTACTTTTTCACTTTTTTTCCCCCATTCATTTTATTCCTAATCACACAGGGGTTTACAGGTTCTCTTTATGGGACCTGCCCTCCATCGCAAAACAGATCTTCTGTTCAGTTTCTGACAGCTGAGACAGGCGCCGGTGTGATTACAGCCCTCCGGTCTCACTGATCACAGAGAGCAGAGTGGAGATGGACATCCCCTCTCTCCATCCTGAGCTCATTTGCCGTGCTCCCCGGTCTCCCAGAAGAGTGCGGGACCCCCAAAAACCACGGCGCGAGGGTGGACAAGATTGTTGCTCATTTTCTACAAGTGATCTGAGATCACTTGTACTAAATGAGCGGCGGCTCCCCCGATCTACATTTAGCGAGCCTGCAGTGCTACTTAACTGCAGCAGATAACCATCAGGCCATATCCCTTGTGGAAAAGTACCTGACAGCCTGGGCTCAGAGGAAGTCATTTGAATTCTTGCTGGCTGTCATTTAACCTGGAGGACTGAGAACACGTTGTGGTCGAAAAAAAGTACTTTTGGGGGCAAGTCTTGATTGATTATTTTTTTTTAAGTGCTATTTATTTGAATTGCCCTGTGAATGTGTGTTAACGTTTGTCTGCCATACATTACATGCAGGCCCGGCTTTCTGTTTAGCAGTGCTGCACAATGGTCGTGCTTTGCTGATCCAGTTATCTCAATGCAAGTGTAACAGATAATGTCTGTGTGGCTGAAAGCAACAGACACTCTGCAGCCTCTAATAACGTGAAACACTCACTGTACTTCTGTTAGCCACGGACCATGTGATCTAGGTTGCCTAGATTTTGGGCAACATTAGCAGCTTGGAAATTATGCATTTTTGTATTCATGATAAGAAATTCTCAGGATAATACTGCTATTTGGGATGCTGCCGTGTGCCCTATTATGTTTATTGTGAATTTTAACGGCAGGTCCACTTTTGTATTTTTATTGTTACTATGTTTCTATTTGCTGTGTGTTTGTATTCAAAAGGAAGTTTGGAGCTAATTAAAAAGTGGGAAAATGGGTTTTTGAAATTAACAAATATTTCAAGTTGAGGTTTTTACCTAATTTCTTTGCAAAGGTTAAGCAGGTAATCTGCAGTTCAGTGTTGGACACCCTGTCATGCTTTATGTCTGTATTCCTCCTCTCCATTAAATCATACTGGTTGGGAGACCAAACAAAGGTGGTCAGATCTCTACACTGATACAGCACAGACACAATCCAGCTGTTGGGAGAGATCCTATTCTGAAGCTTTGTGCATAAACATATAGGTTCTGCTCATCATGTTTAGGCTATGGAGCAGGGAGAAGGAAGCAGGAGACAACTCCAGCACTGACTTATCTTTGGGGAATCAATAGCAATCGGACAATTCTTTTCAAACCTGTCCGATCGATGTTTCCTCAGAGCTCGGTTAGTGAGGAGCATCAGCTGGTGCAACAGACATGAAATCTTTGCCAGATCCCAACACTTATGTTCTGATCACAGAGCAATGTTCCTACAAGATGGTTAGTGATGGAGAATGTTTTGAAGACAGGAGCTTCTGTGCAGATTTTGTCCATGGCGAGGAGTTTGGTCTCCAATACATGAGGATCTAAGGTTGTTAAAGAGTCTATCCCATATATTAGTTTCACCTTTTAAGTTGCATTAGTGAAATAAATGACATTTTGCACGATATTCTAATTATTCCAGTTTCACCTGTACTTACCTTCAGCTCAATTAACTTTGTTCCTTACCAAGTTGTTGGTTGGTAGACTGACTGATCTTTGTGTTAGGCTTAACCACTTGTGGTCTACAATAAAAGGAGCCTGGAGAAGCATTATTTTCAAGCAAGGTAGGTGACTTAATTGTTTTTTTATCCATTCCTACCAGCAAGGTTGTTAAGATTTAGGAATAGGGTTCATCTAAGAGTGCCTCCTTTTTAACGCAACTGTTTACTGTGCAGCCATTTCTAGATTCATGGTTTATGATGCAGAAAGACTTCCTGCAATTGTTTACTTTCTATTTATCTGTATGATTACTCATATACTATTACTCTTTTACTAATAGATCATTGTTTCCTCTTAGGTGAGCTACAGGGCTCAGCAAACTAACACCAGACACGCAGTGCTGAAGATGTCCATGGTCTGGCTACTGGCCTTCCTCCTATATGGACCTGCTATCATAACCTGGGAATACATCGCTGGCAAATCCATCATCCCAGACGGAGAGTGCTTTGCCGAATTCTTTTATAACTGGTACTTCCTGATCACAGCTTCCACTATAGAATTCTTCACTCCTTTCATAAGTGTGACCTTCTTTAATGTGTCTATCTATCTGAACATCCAGAAGAGGACAAGGGCCAGACTGGACCTCTTGCAAGAGCCGTACAGCCAGACAAATACTGATATTACAAAGCCGGAGCCAGAACCAGCCAGGTCTCGCTCTCTGAAATGTTGGAAAGTGACCCATAAAGCATTTAAAAAGGGCCGATCTGACGGTGAGGCCTACAAGTCAACGGAAGCCGAAATACTGGAAAGGGTCAAGGCAGTTAAAAGGTCCTCCTTAAATGGGAGTACACTGACTGTTTTAGGTAAAACAAAAAGTACTAGAAGAAGCTTTGCAGAGTCGGGGTCCACCCCGTCATTGGAGAAGCGCATGAGGATGGTCTCTCAAGGAATCGCCCAGCGTTTCAGATTGTCAAGAGACAAAAAAGTAGCAAAGTCTTTAGCCGTCATTGTCTGTGTATTTGGAATATGTTGGGCACCCTACACCCTACTGATGATCATTCGGGCAGCCTGCAGAGGACATTGTGTGCCAGAGTACTGGTATGAGGCCTCCTTTTGGCTCTTGTGGGTTAACTCAGCCGTCAACCCTGTTTTGTATCCTCTCTGCCATTACAGCTTTAGGAGAGCATTCAAGAAGATTTTGTGCCCACAAAAGCTAAAAATCAAACCACATAGTAAATTTCAGCTCTGTTGGAAATGAGTGACCACCCCCCCCCCCCAAAAAAAAAAAAGCTTTGCTGGAAGTAATGCTGATGGAATAGAACAAAAAGATTCAATGACTCCAGAAGGTGTCACACAGAAGGTTAGATTGCAGGTTCTTTAAAACGTTGGAAGACCTCTTTTGAGGCAAAATGGCCAGAGTCATTATTTCTGAGGAGATCAAACATTTAAAGAGGAGCTCTTATACAATTTTGTGGATGCTGGTCCCGCTCCTAGTAATGTCTTGTTTTACGGTTGCTCCTAGTTGCGTCACCATACTCTAGACACTGGCATTTACAGTCTCAGCTACATCTAGAGATATCATTTTTGTTCCATCTATGAATTGAATACTAAATATTGAATAAAACATGCTTCAAGTGTGTGTGCTTGGCAATCATCTTCACAGATCAGATCCTTTGACTAATGATTGGTTCCTCTTGTGCCTTTAGCTACATTGTTTTAACTTTATTCACTGGACATCTAAAATTCCCTTTATTAAAAGTAGATGACAGTCTCAATGGTTCCTGTAAAGGTCAAACTGAGCCCTACTCGCCATGCCTCCTGAGCCTCCTTGTTGGTCTTTGATTGTAATAGGTAACCCCTTTGACTAGTAAAGAGGAGGAAGGGCCAAGCTCATCTTTAAAAGTTGAGATCCACATATAAATTCAGATGCTGATATCACTTGATCTAATGAGCATTTAGGCATGCAGGATTTAATTAAGCTAACCTCTGCTTAAAGTAGATGTAGACCCCAAATGGATGATATTAGTGCTCAGTCAAGCACAGTGAATCAAAGACTACTGACACGTTCAATAGAATACCTGTTTTCAGCCACTGTCTACATGCATGCTTCATGGCATTTTGAGTTTCCTGATGGTGACAACAGTGGACCACACCTATGTAATGTGTGTCAAAATGGCCACTTTTGGTATCCATCGGATGACCATGTGACAATGTCCGAGCACAACTGGTAGACAGGGACAGAGTATTGCCACCCTATAACAGGAAGTACCTGAACAAGGACCTTCATGTCAGGATCCCCAGAGATTATTTTTTTCCCCAGGGATTTGTTTAATGAATGGTGCAGATTTAAGCACACTGGAAATGACAATATAATTATATTGATATATAATGTCAATGATATAATGCTTAGTTAAGACTTTAGTGATTGGATTTTACATACATATTTTCACAATTTGATTGGCTTCAATTGCCCACATTTGTGACAGGTTTACTTTTAAGATTAAATAAAATAATCTCTATTTTGACATTGCAGATGGGGGAAAAAAAACAACTTAAAGGGATTGTCCCTTTCTTTGGTGCTTTTGTTTTAGTTATACAATTCATGACGCAGCATTTACTAAATTATTATTATTACAGGTATTTTTTATAGCGCCGACAATTTAGCAAGCACTTTACATAGTTGTACATTCACATCAGTCACTAAATATATTGTATCAGCTTTATACCTTCCTACTTTGCTGTTTTGGTTGGCATAAAGGATTCTTTTAACTACTCTGAGACATGGCCCAAACTTGCTGTGTCCTGTGGTGGGATTACACCAAAGTGGGATTGATTGTCAGGAAAAAAAAAACGCAAAAGGGAGCAGGAAAAACAGACTTCACATAAAGTTACAAGAGGGCTTGCAGAAACAGAAAGAAAAGTCATGCATAGATAGAAACCCCCCTTCAGTGTTTTTCTAATTGACAGTTAAACATGGACCACATTTAGCTTCAGTTTGTTGAGTTGTAAAGTGCACTTTGCTTCCATCTTGGACAGTTTTCTATTTTGGAACTTAAAGTGCACTTGTGCTCAGGCGATAGACACTACAGCTGAACTCCAGGATAATCAAGTGTTGTTTAAATACAAGAGTCATCTGTATTATTACTTGAATCTTGGTGAGCTTTGTGTATTTCTTCCAGATCTGTGCAGTAATCCAGTGTGAATCTTTGCCTCTGTGCAGGAGCATCCCGTCATAAAGACCACTCACTCCTGCTCTCTCTCCTTGTGCAGTGTGACTGGTCTTGTCTCGGCCCCCTCCTGTAATAAGGACTGGTCACTGCTGCTCTCTCTCCTTGTGCAGGGTGCAAGGTGACTGGACTTGTCTCGGCCCCCTCCTGTAATAAAGACTGGTCACTGCTGCTCTCTTTCCTTGTGCAGGGTGACTGGTCTTGTCTCCACCCCCTCCTGTAATGAAGACCAATCACTGCTGCTCTCTCTCCTTGTGCAGGGTGGCTGGTCTTGTCTCTCCCCCTACTGTAGTTATCTACAGGCAGCCTGTAGTGGGTGGGGATTCTGGATACCTCCTGCAACTCTGCTCTACACACAGGCTATGTACAGCACAGTGATGAGGACACTGTTACTTTTATCAGGTAATAACTGCATTTCCAAAGGCATTTTGTGCACACTAAGAAGATTTGTATCCTTTTTGGCTATTGAGGAATTTCTTTAAATAAAAACATTTGTGCCTGGAGTTCAGCTTTAAACATTTATTTACATACTCTTGACAAGCAGTAGATGAGCTTTGCATTTCTTTATCCTTGCCACGCCTGGTATTAACCAGCTATGTGGCTGTGTTCCAAGACCAGGGAGAAGGCCTCATAAAATTCAAAGGGCTGTAATGCACAGGCAATGCCAGGATGTTTAGATCCAGTGCCACAGATTTCTCTATACTGGCCGTGCCTGGCATTAGCCTTCCATGGGGCTGTGTCCATTATCTGAGCCTGGGAGATGGCTTAGATTAGAGAATGTATTGATCTGTTTGCCTGGAGTTGTAACACTTCAGTTAGCTATTATCTTGCCTCTTAAAAAAATGTTGTGGCATAAAATCCTTTTCTCTGAGTCTATTGAGGGACAGAGCAGAAATCTGATACGTAGGGTTATGCTGCTACCTCTTGGAGAAATAGACACGAGGCAAAGAAAATAAAAACCTGCCACGTTAAGGACATAACCCTCACACCTACCAGTTGTAGCAATCAGTATATAATGAAATGAGGGAAGGGAGCTGTGTTCCTAAAAGGACTCCAAGAAAAGGTTATTAAGGTAAGAACAAAATACTATTTAGGACCTTCTGGTAGGACAAACAAAGAATTTGTATGTTTATAGGAAGCTGTGGCTGAAAGAAAAACTCTGATAGCCTGCACAAAATCCAACCAATGAAGGGAAGTTTCCTTAGGATAAATATGATTCATATGAAAAGTGGAAACCACCTTAGGTAAAAAGAAAACCTTCAGTCTTAAAACAACCTTGTCCTTATGAAGAACCAAATAGGGTTCTCTATAAGACAAGGCAGACAACTCAGAAACGGCTAAAAGAATGGCAACCTATTTGGATAACAAAAACAAGTAAATATCTCGATAGTTTCAAAAGGAGGTTTTTGAAGAACAGATAGGACCAGGTTTAAGTCCCACTGAGGAAGAGGAGTTCTAACAGGAGGAGCATGTGTAACTCCCTGAACAAAAGTATAAATTACGGAATTTGAAGACAGGGGACGTTGAAAAAAGGACAGACAAGGCTGATATCTGACCCTTAATGGTACAGAGAGCTAAATGTTGATTTACCCCTGACTGAAGGAAAGATTCTCAAAACAGAAAAAAATCTGTGGGAAAACCCCAAGGACTCACACCAACTAAAATAAGCCTTCTACGTGAAGATCTACCAGCATTCAGCATAGTCGGAATAACAGAATCCAAAACCCCTTTTGGACACCTGGGTTTCAACAGCCAAACAATTAAAGCCAACGACCAAGAACCAGGGTGGAAGATTAGCCCCCGAGACAAGAGCTCCAGACGTTTTTTGCTGAGAAAGTTTGCCTGCCTGTTTTCTACTCCTGGAATGTGGACTACTGAGATCGCTGAAACATGAAGTGCCACCCAATCCAACATTAAATGAACCTCCTTTGCAACCAACACACTCCTAGTGCCCCTGGTAATTGATGCATGCCACTGCTGTGACATTGTCTGACAGAAACCAAACTGGGCAACCAGTCAGAAGACGGGTCCAGTGAAATAGCGTCAAAGAGAATTGCACTCAACTCCAGGACATTTATCGGAAGCTTGGATTCCTCTGGAAACCAACAACCCTGCACAGACAGAAGATCCAATACACCACCCCCACAAGACTGGCGTTGGTTGTGACAATCTTCCACTTTTTGGAAAGAAACGGCTTTCCTGTTGTTAACGCAGGTGATGTCAACCACCATGACAGAGAAATCCTGGGGGACTTTGTCTGATAATTTTGTCCAGCAATAGATTAGACCTGTCCCATGCTGTAAGAATGTTCCTCTGCAAGGGCCTGGAATGGAACTGAACAAATGGAATCACTTTGAAGGCGGATACCATCAGAACCTAAACTCTCATGCAAGTTCTCAGAGAGGATCGGTAATGGGACTGAAGTGACTGAACTTGATCCTGCACCCTCAATATTCTGTTCTGAGGAAGAAACACCTTTGCTTGAAATGAATCCAACAGAAGACCCAAGTACTGCAAGTTATGCAACAAAATCATGGACGATTTTCAAGTGTTCACAATCCACCGCCAGGCGCACCGCCAACATGGAGACATCTCCAGATTTAGAAGAGATTGTTCCCAAAGTAAAATGTTGTCTAAGTATCTGATAATCGAAATACCCTTGCAACGAAAGAGCCTCAGAATTGGTGCAAGAGCTTTTGTGAAAACCCTTAAACCTGAAGCCAACCCGAAGAGAAGAGCCACGCATTGATAATGAAGGTCGCCTATAGCAAACGGAAGAAAACACTGATTAACTGTGAATACAGGAATGTGTAGATATGCATCCTTTAAGCCTATGGGAACTAAGAAATCTCCTTGATGAAGAAATGTGACAACTGATCGAAAGGATTCCATCCGGAATTTGTTAACACTTACAAATGCATTGAGATCTTTTAAATCCAGAATCGGACAAAGGCCTCAGTTGGGCTTGGGAACCATATACAGGTTTAAGTAAAAACCTTGCGCATGGCTTCTCCACTTTGGCTTTATGTTTGTAAAATA